CCTTCTATCCCTATTATTTTTGTAATTACATAAATTCCATATTTTTTAGACATTTCGGATACATTATTGTTGATACATTATGTATCAATCTGTTGCACTTATTAAGAAAAAAAAAACTAAAAATAAAATTAAGATCTCACAGTATCCATTTGTTGCATAAGGGAAAAAGAGCTGAAAATCAAATTAAGACCCCATAAATGAGGTTATTCCATTCCAAATTATTGTCAAGAATTCAAAATCCTATAGTGTAACAAACCAAAATATTCAAAAATTAAATTTCTTCTTCTTGTTCATCGTTCTCTCTATTTCATAAAACTTTTGTCGAAATTTTGGATAAGCGAGGTGAGTTATGAAGGATACAAAAGTGATGGAATTGTTGTTGGACAAACGATTTCTTTTGTGAATCTTCAAGTTCATCGAATATCCTTTCGATTTTGATTCAAGATTGTCGAAAATTTTGAGATTCAAAATTCTTCTCCAGTTCATTGAAGATCCTTTCCGTTTTGATTCAAAATTGTTGAAAATTTTGAGTTTCAAAATTATTCTCCTAGTTCATTGAAGATTCTTTCAATTTTGATTCAAAATTATCGAAAATTTTGAGTAGATATATCATGAAGATCCTTTCAATTTAAATTGATAAGTGTTGTATTTCTACTAGATACATTAAATAAGAAACTGTTGCTCGTAAGATTTTAGGTTTGAGATCGATACATTATTATTTGGTAATTGTTATGTATCAGATACATTTAGTATAAATTCGAATTTACGTATCATAACTAAAAAATTAGTGCATGATACATTATATGTATCTTATTTTGTTTGAGATCATGAAGATCCTTTCAATTTAAATTGATAAATGTTGTATTTCTACTAGATACACTAAATAAGAAAGTGTTGCCCATAAGATTTAAGTTTGAGATTGATACATTATTGTTTGGTAATTGTTATGTATCATATATATTTAGTATAAATTTGAATTTACGTATCATAACTAAAAAATTAGTGTATGATACATTATTATTTATGTATCTTATTTTGTTTGAGAAATACTATATTTTAAAATTAAAAAAAATACATTATACATGTAATTGTTTCAAAATAGCTTCTTTTTTGTGTGTGTGATAAATAACACAAAGTTTATGTATCAAGTACATTTCTATTGAACATGATAAAAATCAAAGACTCAACAACATTAAAGTTATGTATCAATACCTTACATATGAACATTATACCTTACATATGAACATTATACATTGCATAAAACAAAGGTTATTGTAGCAGTGATGTATCAGATCAATGATAACACTAACAAAGACTAATTTAAGACTCAAAATAAACGAGATGCATTAAAAATCTGTATTTTTGATAGTGATGGCCGTGTTATGGCAGATCCAACTTTTTTCTTCTTCTTTTTTGGACGTTTTTCAATAGTAGAAACATTAAAAGAAAATAAATATTTTTCAAGAAAAATTTTCAACAACAATATGATTAACTAAAATTGCAAAGGTTCAATAAGATTTCAATGAGGGCAGGGGCAGGGGCAGAGGTAATTTTATTTTTATTTTTTAAGATGAAAAAAATTAAAAAATAATAGTAAAAGAAATAAAAAATTGAAGCGATGGAAAGAAATCTGCCTCTTGAATAATTTGAAATCATTAATTGGAAATAGAAAAGATTTGAAATTCAAAAATAGATTAATTGATAAACTTGAGAGAGACACCTTCTGAAAATCAAAATGAATTTGAATTTGTAACTGCTAAAGAAGTGGAGAGAATTTAGGGATAAAATGGAGGAGTGAAATGGGGAGTGGAAATGTAGGCTGAAAATATGAGTGAAATATTTATGTATCCAGAAGATTTTATGAATTGGGGGAATTAAGGGATTTTTGAATTTTTTAAAAAAGATAGAAATAAATGGATATTAAGATAAGTAAATGTGTGTTTATAAGTAATTTCCCTAAAAATGTATATATATTCTTGAGATATTATTTTCAATTTATTTATTTATTTAAAATAATATTTATCTTCGTACCAAACGCATCGAGTCAATCAACAAAGCTCCATAGTCAAAGGTGATATGATATTCCTAGTACATCTCACCCAGATTGATCCCCACTAAGGAACACACTACTCAAGTGCCCTAGGAAAAGAAAGTTAATGTCCAAGTAACGTGGGAGATTTAAGAGATTGATGCCCATTTCTTTGGGCTGATTTGTCGGATTCATTGTTTATTTTTTTTATTACGTATACATAGATTATATATTAATTATACATATATTATTCATGAATTATGCTTATATTATATATTTGTTGTCTATTTTAAGTCCTATTTGAGTCAATTCTTTCTATTTAATCTGTCCCAACATTGGTCTATATACTAATTAGTTGTTTTGGAAAAGTAATCCTTCTCCGTCTGGTTGTTAATCTCATGGAATTTCGATCTACTATAAACATTAATGTAAATTGTAATCAAACGTTTGATGTCTTGTTTTAATATGAGGGTTATATACTTTTCTCACTTTTATTAGGGTGTGTCCGATATGAAAGGAAACTATTTTTTGAATTTTTCATGTTCAGTTGGTTAAATTTTTTAGAATAATATGTTTTTTAACAATAAGGAAAATAACTTTCCTAATAGAAATAAGAAAATCAAGTTCTTCAAGTGTATTCCACACTGATCATCTTATCAACACACCTCATTTTCACCCTTACGCAGAGGCATATCCAAGGGGGATCACCGGCTTCACATGAACTCATACTCCTCTCCCAAGATCATATATATAGTAGTGTTATACTTTTAAAAAATTATTGATATAAAGATGTGTAAATCCACACTCGGAGTATCATATAATGCGATGATGACTGGGTGCACCTCTCTACGTGAGGTTAGAAATTTGAATTTTATATTTCTTGTTCTCTTTTGGCATTTTAACAAATATATATATCTTAGAACCTAAATGTCGAACCGATCAAATTTATATCTTAGATCAATCTTTTTGTAATAGTGCACCCATCATTTTGAAATCCTAGATACGCCTTTGCCCTTACGCCCCAGTCCCCACGCCCACCTCCACCTCCACCTCCACCTCCACCTCCGATCATATTTGTCTATTTTTTCCTTTAGAGTTAGGGGAGGGGAATATTCGAAGATTATAAATGGTGAATACTGCATAAGTGATATGTATCATGGCATATTACGTTGTGGATATTAGGATATGAATTATGAAGTTTCTCTTTAGGAAGTCCAAATTTTTCATCCCAATCAATTTCCTTCTGGATCAAATTTAGACGTGACCTCGAAATAATAACCTTGACCTAGAATAGGTCTTTGACTTCAATTGGAACCTATCGTGTAATTAAAAATGATAAAATTAGTCATGAAAATGTGATCCGTCTAAGTTTGGAAGATTCATTGACCTGCTCACTTATTATCTTAACTCAATTTGAACCGTCAAACTTTTGTTCAACATTGGACCAAAAGGGACAAAATAGCAATTATTCATCATAGAGCTACTTTATATTTGAGTGTTTTAGTGGCATCCCATTTTCATAGTGTCCTAAGAAAAGAAAGGTTAATGTCCAAGGACCATGGAGCTTTAAGAGATTTATGCCCATTCAACTGCATGTGCTGTATACGTGATGAATGCTTTCCACTTTTATCTTTGATTTGACCATAATAATCACTATATGTGAGGAATATAATGGCATTTTGTACAAGTTTGAGACAAAATTATTATTTTTATAATTAGCTAAATATTTATTCAAAAATATAATACGGTAACGGTATGTTAATAAAAAATACTAATAACATAATTACCAGTTATTATAATTAGTTACAAAGATCAATTGGTGCAAGAAAATAAATAATAACAATGAAAACTAGCTATTTTTTCACAGTGAGCATGCATTTTCAAATATGATGACAGAGTAAACGAAGCAACATTGTTACTCGGAAGGATTAGGTAGACAGAAGTATAATTGGGGTCATGATTAATTTGCTTATTTTATAAAATATTAAAATTTGAAGTAAGTTTTAAACTTTTTTTAAAAGCTTGACAAGTATATTTTGATCAAAAACCTCCTCCTCCTCCTCCTCCTTTTTTTAATTTTTTTTTTTTTGGATTTACAAAATGGTGTCAACTTATTAGTTGCACCAGTGTGGTATCTGATACTGCTTTTGGAGCCTGATAATTTTGAATTCGTGGGGGTGGAGGGGATTTGCAGAATCGATACTAGTGACGTTGGAATATTCGAAGATTATAGATGGCAAACACTGCATCATAAAGTAAGCTTGCCCAAAAAAATAAAAAGTTAAAAACATTCACCTAATGTGATATGATAGAAGGAAATAAAGTTTATCTAAGGAATCCCCAACTTTCCATCCCAGCCGATCTCCTTTTGGATCGAGGCCAGGCGATACAAAACTAATGACTGTGACCAAGAATAGGATTTATTTTGCATAAATTTGAACTGATTGTTGCGTGATTAGGAGAAATAAAATTAACTTTATGATTATCTATTAGTGTAATAAGTACTAGGCTACTAGATTAGTAGAAGGATTAGTTTATTTATTAACTCAATTCATTTAAAATAGTCTATTTGTTCACCAACCAAATCATTAAATGGATTGCATTATTATCCCCCTCACCCTTTTTTATTTTTTTTGTCTTTCGAGATGACTCACTTGGTTCGGAGGGTAGTCAGTCATCCTCATGATTCATCCCCTCAATATCTTTTGAGTCGAGTTTATCGCATAAGATTGTGTTGTTTGCAGGCCGTGTACTTACAGGATGAAGGTTTACCCGATGCTCACCACAGAATGTTCAATCAAAAGGCAGAGGTTGTGACAGAGATTGTGGCGATGGCGGGTTATCTTGTTAGAAAAAGAAAAAAAAAACTTGCCCCATTAATCTAGACTAGGAATGGGGACAACAGTGCAGCGAAAACAACTTCATTTAGGGCAGGCACTAGGTGTTTATTTTTTTGTAAGTAATTCGAAGATGAAAAAGCAACAATCCGTCCCTGTAATTAACGATTCGTAAACAAACAAAAAGTACAAGATAATTAAAAGAGCAACAAACAGAAAATACAGATCGGAGTTTGATTAACCGGCATAAACATGAACGCCGACGGCAATAAGTAAGATAGTGATGAGACCAAAGTAAATGACGGCATGTACCAAAATAGCAGCGCCGCTCGTTTGCATCCCGCCGAACTCCACCACTTTTCCACGGCTAGGTAACTGGAACAACAGCCCCGGCGATAACAGTACGAACAGCACCACCGCTATCAACACCGGTCCCCAATCCGCCATTACAAGTAAGTAAATTAGGTTAATTAAACAGTGAGAAAGAGAAAAGAAATTGGGGAAAATGAAAATGTGAACGTCACACGGAAGTAGTGTGCGGGGCAAAAGTGAACATGAATTTGTTGGAAGTATGAGTTCACTGCCTCGTCATTCGCGCAATTTCAGTCTTGGGCTTTGATTTTTGGACGGTGACTTCTCATTCTCCCAATGCATTTTTCTTCTTTTAATTTTGGTGACATCATAATTAGATAATCCCCCCATCCAACAATAATAAATGTTCAATTATATTTGTTTATTTTATGAAATCAATGTATGATTTTCCATTTAGTTTCTAATTTATTTTTATAATTAATTATAGTCATTTTTCAATTAGATTTTTCAAGATATTGTATTTATTATATTCAAAGAGTGATTTAGTAAAATTATCTTTCTATTTATAATTTCTTAAGAAATATGCAAAGTTAACTGTGGACAAATATTGTTAGACAAAGAGAGTAATTTCGTTCTCTCAAAATAAGTGTTGTCCCAAAAACAATCACATTCATTGAGTAGGACTATTTATTATATGGATGGATAATTATATTTAATGATTTGGCTTATTAGCCAACTAATAAGCTATTGGTTAGTTCAGTATCATATTAAAAAATAGGAAAATTGTATGAAATAACAAATTATTAATTCAAATTAAATGTTATAGTCATAGTTCACTTTATTTTTAATTCAAGCAAACATCTCATTTTTTTGTCATCTGGTTCGGTATATAATTAGTCATTTTCGATATATAAAATTTGTTATGGAATGCAATTATGCAAACTATAGCTATAACATACAAATATGATTTTTATGTTTGCTATATGTGAAAGTTGCTCTTAAAAAATAACAGACAGTTGTCGAATTGTCCATTCTTCCACTTTCACTCATCATCAATATAGTAATCTCCCATCAAATAAAATATTTTTTCTAGTCCTACTTAACTTGGTGATTTAGTAATTGTAAATCACGATGAGACACATATGAAAGTCTAAATTTTGAGGGTGTCTGCACATAAGTATTTACTTAACAAATATATTTACAGTAAAAATATAACTACAATAATAATTAACGGGTTAATGGTTTACCAAATAAGAAAATTGAGCAATCTGCCCCATCGATAAACCGTTAATTGTAAAATTTTAATCTGTTCACCATTCGATAATTCAATAATAAGCCAGTTTTGTGGTTGGCTTATCGGTTACGATTTGATTTCAAGCAGCCCTACCATTGAGAAGATATTTCCTCCGTTTCAAATGAGTGTCATCTTAATAAAAATTATGTTCGTTAGGATATTAATAAATATAATATAATTTACTAAATTCTATATATTTTTTGAAAATTTATTATTATTAAAAGGATGAAGTATAAAAATATGATCAGAAAAATATATTAATTTTTTTTAAAAAAAAGTTCTAAGATACATTTGGGAGTAGAAAGTTAAAGTTACCATAAAGATGGACATTATCTTTAAAATCACATAAAGGCACCTTCTTGACCAAATATCTTCCACTCAAAATTTGGGACGAATCACCGATACAGCTTTTTAAGGGGTCGTTTTGGTTTGAGGAAAAGTTTTTGTTGGAATTAGTAGGAATTGGTTAGATATATTGAGATTATTTATATTAAGGAAAGTGCTAAATAATCAGAAAATTTGGTCAGAAAATTTAAAAAATTATAATGTTTTTTTATTTTAAAATAAACTGATTTTTTTTATTTATTTTTAGTTAAAAAGTATTAAAGTTAAAAGGATAAAAATATTTTAAAAAGTAAAATAACATAGATAAAATATCATTTTGGCCAAAAAGATTTTTCCTTATATTAATAGAGTATTAGTTTTTATTGATTGTTTAAATTATTGTATTAGAAATGATATGTTTTCTTTTTATAATTTTTAAGAAAAAGTTCTTTGTTACAAAAGTATCATCATCCTTATATAATCCTTCCACATGGTACAAATAATCTTTTCATGTCGAATATGTATTATTATTTTTTGACAAAATTTAGATTGATATGATTTTAAAAAAAATATGAACTTATGAGTCAAGTTTTATATTATTAAAAAAATTGAAATGCAACTTGAAATTTAAAATCATACTTTTAGAGGATTCAAGATTTGATTTGCAATCATAATATATAAATAATCATTGACTTTAAATCAGAACTTCAAATTTTATAACTAAACGCCTAATAAATTATTCATTTTGGTACATGGGCAAACATGATATGTAGCCCAAAGTCGATCTGGGATAAGGCCATTCCTGCAAATTATGGGCCACGTTAATATATATGTATATGTGGGCTTGAAAAATTATTTTGAAGGGAAAATTGTATGAAATAGCAAATTATTAATTTAAATTAAATGTTATAGTCATAGTTTATTTTATCTGTAATTCGTAGCAAACATTCCTTTTTTTGCCATTTGATTCGGTATATAATTAGCCATTTTCGGTATACAATTAGTCATTTTATACATTTTGGTATAAAATATATAGGAATAAGGGTCTGAAAAATACCTCAACTTTTGTCGAATTTGATGTTGTGATACTAAACTTTAATGAGGACCTATTACCTCCCTAGACTATTTAATATCGTATTTTAAATATATATATTTGCCCACGTGGACATAAAAAATAATGCAAAATTATAAATAGTATTGTGTTCACGTGGGCACATATATACTTTTAAAATACACTATTAAATAGTTCAGGGGGGTAAAAAATACGGTATTAAATAGTCTAGAGAGGTAATAGGTCCTCATGAAAGTTTAGTATCGCAACAACAAATCTGACCAAAGTTGAGGTATTTTTCAGACCCTTATCCCAAATATATAAAATGCGTTTGTGTTTTGTATAAAGCGAGAGAAAAGTATATATACAAATACAAATACATATATTTTTGTCTTATACACTTATAATTATATAAATACAAATCTTATTATACAAATTACAATGTATAAATGCATTTATACAAACTGAACAATTTGTATAAAATTGAATGTATCTAGCGAATTATACAAATCAAAAGCTCCATAGCAAACATAAAATTTGCTATGGAGCGCAATTATGCAAACTATAACTATAACATACAAATATGATTTTCATGTTTGTTATATGCGAAAGTTGCTCTATTTTGAAAGGATTTGGGCTGGAAATGCAATTTATTGCTCCATAGTTTAGTCGTGTAGGACTGGTCGAATAAGCAATGATAAACTACTTTATCAGACATACATCACTATCATATATATTACTATTATTATCTCTACTGTCAAACAATTACATATATTATTACTTTTAATATTTTATACCATATATTATTGAAGATATACCCACATTCCTTAAAATTGGGATTGATTAATAATCTCCTTAATTTACTCTTTCACTCGTAATCAACCACACTCTCTTAATTCTCCCCTCTCATATTCATCACTCAATTATCTCTCCTCCTTTCTCGTTCAAGAATCTTACCATACAATTTTATTCCAACAATGGCTAATCTACTCTCTTCTTTTCAAGATATCATTACCCTAACAAAATCTCCTAAACTCAAACCTTATTATGTATTGTTCCTTTCTAATGAGATCAAATCGAAATAATTGTTACAAAGAAATAATTTTAAGTTAATTGATGGATCGGCCAAACAATTCACATTCATCGTCGATGACTCCACAAACTCTTTATTATGTCTTTATCTTTAGAGATAGAGGAGCTTGCCTTAGAACAAAAACTGTTGATATCTGAATGACGTACAACACTGCTTACCCTAAGGCTTCAACTCCATCTAACATCAAAGTAAGTTTGGCCAGATCGAGAGAATCTTGATAGACATGATCAAAAGAAGGGGCAACTCTATCTCCATTTTTGCTCATGCATTCGTTAAAGTCATGCTATGGATAACATGGACTATTTTCAACTCTATTTTTGATAAATTTATGTTATATCTCTATTAACTAATCGTTTTCGTTGTAGATGGTGACATAGATACAGTGGGGAGAAGGATTAAACATGATTTCTTCGATATGTATCAGAAATTAATGGTATATATCTCAGTCTCAAAAGTTTTGAGTGTTGTTTTATATCTGATATAAGGACATGTATCTAATAATGTATTTTACATTTCTTGTATCTAATTTTGTTTGATAGAAGATTTATTATTAGATATATGTGTATCCGAGTTTATTTAGTATTGTATCAAGTTTTTTGACAAATGATTTACTATCAGAAACATGTATATCCAATAAGTAGCAATCTTAACTAAGATCAGAGTTGTATTTCTTAATAATGGGATATCTGGACATGTATATGTCCACCATTAAATCTCAAATACACGACTCTTAACAACATAATGATATTCACCATTGCTGAACCATAAAGGCTCAAAATTATTTAAGAAAAATTTCAGGGGAGTGTAAAGTTTGTATTCTCTAAAAAATTTCGAAGTATTTCAATTTTTTTTTGGAGTTGTAATACTCTAAAAATTTTATACGCGCGATTTCATCCTTAAATCATGTCTTTCAGTTACATTCCTTATTTAAGTACATTTAAGTATATGTATTTGGTTAATTATCTAAACGCGTCAAATATTGAAATACATGTATCCAAGGTCGTACAATCAAGGAGAAAGAAATGTAAACTTTGTTGAATCGCCAAACGAAATGGAAGAATTTTGATTTTTTTGATTTATTTTAGGAGATGTGATATGATCTTTAAAAGTTGTTACAAACGCAATTTACTATTTAATTAAGAGCTTTCAATTATATCACTTAATTAGATACATCTGGTCGCAACAAATACATATATTCGATGTCCAATTTATGGTTGAATTCGTAATAATGAAAACTGAAGAGAAAAAAGATAATAGATACTAAACTAGTGTGATTTCTGTTATTTATCCAATAAGCAATAACTCTTCTTTTGTTAAAAAGTCCATACTTAATTTCATTTCATGTCCGAGCATTATTAAGAAAAAAAGGGAAATGGTTGTGTAGATGAAGAATGTGCTACTTCCTCACATTTTGAAGACTTTAATATCAAAAAAGATCCTTGTGAAATATAATATTTTACCACATCAATAAATTTTCAAGAACATTCAATAAATCTTCTAGTCTTCCTCTATCTACCCCAGCCTCTGCTGATTTAAGAATATATCACATACAATTACTTTAATTTAAGATATT